AAACCAGCACATTCTTCCTGTTTTTCCAATTTTGTTTCTAAATTCACCTGTGCCACATGCACCTACTCGAGGTGCTTCATTACCGGAGTTTTCCAAAAATGCAAAACTAAGCTAAGCAACTTTTCAAAGTTTGGCCTCTGAAGTTTTATGGTTGTAAAGTTCTGAAGAGGTGCAGGGCTTCAGAAAAAAATGTGATATGAATTAGTTAACTTAAAAACATAAAAGTTCTTTCTTTATGAAAACAAAGGCTCGAAATCAAAAGTTTTTTTTTTTTTTTTCTGAATAGACATTCATTCCGATTTTTCATGAATCTTTTAAAACTAAAGAGAATTAAGAATCCTTATCTTGCGCCGGGAAATGGTACACTCTAAACGGGAGGCAAGACTGTTTAGTTAATGTATTTGACAACCTGAAGGAAGGTTCGTGAGGAAGCGAAACTTGAAATGACTGCTGCTTCATAATGATCACAATTTGCGGGTCTGTTTAATGGCCGATCCTGTTGTTCAAAATATAAAGCGAACCGAGAAATGACAATGTTGTATTTTTTTAAGAGATAACTGTCATTTGCAAAAATATACTCTGCAAATTACTGTAGAATTTCCGCAAAATGAAAAATCAATGAGTTACAGAAGCGCACGAATTATCTTCCTTAAAAGTAAGTTGAAGAAAGACCTATTTCGAGTTTAATAAACAACATGAACGAAAACCTCGATTAATTTTTTCATCAGTGTTACACAGTAAATTCACCCAACCATGCTTGACTTCGAAGAGAATTTCAGCACACGTCTGGTTCACTCAAACTGTCCAAACCAACATTTTTTTTTCCGTTTTTCCAGTTTTGCTCTCTAACTTCACCGGTGTTACATGTACCTACTCGAGATGCCTCAATACCGGCGTTTTCCAAACGTAATGACCTCTGAAGTTTTATGGTTATAAAATTTTGATCATAGAAAACTGTCGTGTAAACTTAAAATCGTAAAAGGTCTTTCTTTATGAAAACAATGGCTCGAAATCAAAAGTTTTCTTCTGAACAAACTTTAATTCGGATTTTTCATAGATCTTTCAAAAGCGAAAAAAAAAATCCTTTCATCGCGCCGGGAAATATAATGGCGCGCACATTGGAGCGAAAATTGAAATGACTGCTGTTTCTAAATGATCATAGTTTACGGGTTTGTTAAAAAACTGTCATTTGCAAAAAAATAGACTCTTCTAATTACTGTAGAATTTCGGCAAAATGAAAAATAAATGAGTGACAGTAGTGCGCGAATGATTTTTCTTAAACTAAGTTGAAGTAACAACCAGTTTAGTTTCATACAGTATAGTTTCATCTCATTGTTATTAGGGCTGGCGAATGGTCCCTAAAAAACTCTGGGTCTCGCAAAATTTTAGTCGAATTTCACGGGTCTTGCAGTCTCTTTTTTTAGCGGTTATGTGCGTCTCGCACTAGTCTCGATTTTTATACGAAGCTCTCTCGGAGTCTCGACTTTTTGCAGTTGCAAGGTTAAGGGTTTCGAAGTTCCTATTCCTTTATTTGTTTTAATAAATGACGTCTTCTCGTCACTTGGTATTGAATTTAAATAAAGCAACTTTCCAATTTGCGAGAAACGTTAATCCTAACTTCTGCCAAATTGTCTGAACTTCACAAAAAGCTACAAAACTTACCGCAACGTAATTTTGGCGCCAAAAAACAGTTATTTTGTTCTAGGATATCCTAACGTAGTGTGCTATGGTCGAATTTCCAGTTCCAGCTTGTTTGCAAAGGCTGCCTAAAAGGGTAAAAGGGGGATCAAGAAGCCACACACAACCCACGATAGCTCATGATGAAACCCACGAAGTCGAAGAACTGATCTTTTGTCCCCTGTGGAACTGTGTAAAGGCACAAGTATTTACGACAAAAGGCTCCTTTGTAAGACTTCTGTAC